CTTCCTCCCTTCCTTCCTTCCTTCCTTCCTTCCTTCCTTCCTTCCTTCCTTCATTCCTAGTCAATTGCTAGTGTTCTACACCAGCATTGTAAAGTGAGTGCTAGTAAATTACTAGAAGATAGTTTACTAAATCACATGAATATAATTTTTAAAAGGAAAAGAAAGCTCCTACCTATAATTCTTCATGCAAAAAAACATATCCAAAAAAAAAAAAAGAATAAAACAAAGGCAAAAGTAGTTGTGGGTAAAGTCATAGGCTATGATGTCACTAGCACATTCCTTTTGGAATACAATGGGAAACATTCCCAAAATGACGGACAAACTAAACTGGTTCAGCTTCTGAAGAACCATAAGTGAAAATGATCCAGCACACATTTTACCCCTTATGCCCCTCAATATCTGAAGCCAGAAAGAACTTGACTTAAGTCTAACGTTTTCATTCCAAGATGACTAATTGCTACCGTGAAAATCATGACAAATTACTGAGTATCTGGTTGTCAATAGGTATAATCAGCCTCACTGGTCAGGTTGAGAAAAATAAATGAATAAATGGATGTAAAGGTGCTCGCTTCGGCAGCACATATATTAAAATTGGAACGATACAGAGAAGATTAGCATGGCCCCTGCACAAGGATGACACGCAAATTCGTGAAGCGTTCCATATTTTTTAATGGTGGTCATGGTGAGCAGACCCACATGCCAGAGGTCTGAAGATGAAGCTAGACCAATCTTCTCTCAGACACTTAGAAAGCCTTTCCATGTATCCTGTTGCATGTGATGATACATGACTTGGGGAATCCTACCAAGAGAGCCAAAATAGAAGAGCAAATTTATCTTGGGATATCAATAAACACATGCTCTCTGCCACAAAGCCAATCCAAGGTAAAGTGTCAAACCTCCCTATGTATGTTTTCCTACCTCTCTAATTATACCCCTCAGCACTTCTTCGGAGTTTTATTATGATTCAGAGAAACAAAATAAACTTTCAAAGAAAAGAGAAAGTGTTGGCTATTTTGCTCTGACCATCTGGGTACCATTCAATAAATGCCAAACCTGAAGCTTTCAAAAAATAAATAAATGGATGTAAAGTATCTAACATACTGTCTACAGAAATAGTTTGATAAATACTAGCTATTGCCCATTAAAAGTATGAAAGGGGGACAGTGCCTGGCCTGGTGTCTAGATTACAATTTCCTAGTTCTGTTCCATGAAGATGCTAGAAATGACAACTGTGAAAAAATTAAATTATACAGATATTATACTTAAAATGACTGGGGAGAGAAAAGAAAGTTGTCTTCCCCGTACTTCTGTCACCATGGAAACCATCCCTAGAAACCCCAGATGCACACTTATGATTTGGCACCAAGAAAATAGCCTATAATGTGGAAGCCCAGGAAACCTGGGGAATAAACTGGACAGACCAGCAGGCCTGAATATTCCCTTTTATCACCAGAGTGCCGTGGGTTTCAGGAGAAAAATGGGCTGAATTGCATGTGTTCATTATTTTAGAAGTGACAAAAGAAATTTATTCCTCCACACTGGTCATTGAAAGGCATGAAATCTGAAGTTGTTCAAATGTTACATAAAATAGGGCTTTTTTATCCCCAGAGAAAATCTTGTGGTGGCCTTTCATATAAGAGTGATGCCTCTCATCACATGGAGGAAAGAGAGTGAAAATTGATAGGAAAAAATTGAAAGCGACGTTGCTCTTTTCCTTGATCTTTCAAGTTCAGATTTTTTCTATGAAATTCTCTATCTGTATCTGGTTTGTGCCATTCATTCCACTCTCTACTCAATCCCTTCAATTTCAACAGCTTTAAGATCTTAACTAATAAGAGATAGATGCACAAGAGGAGAGGTGATTTCTTCTCCTATCGTTTGCTAGTAATCCTGCATTGTTTAATGTCTTGCTTTATCTGACTGGTACCTCACCCCCAGCCATTGATAGCTTATCAATCATCAAGCCTAATAAATTTTAATCCCTTTGCTTATTGTAATGCTTCAAATATTTTAAAATCCAGCATGGTGGTGAATGTTTAGTCTCTCAGAGCTTAGTCACCCATCTCACCGAGATGGATTTTCACACCTTGGTAAGGGGATGCAGGACTGGGCTAGCTCTAACCCATCTCTGTGGTGATATTTTGTTTATGATATAACAAATAAAGCTTTCCTGCAGATCAGAAAAGTGAAGTGGCCAGCCACTAGAGAGTTCTCACCTTTATCAGTGCTCAACTGAAAGGGCAGTCCACAGAACCTCAGATTGATTGCATCTCCAAACCGCATCTGTCTCCACCAAACCACAGACTGCTCTGAGCTCCTGTCTCCTCCTGCCTTATATTCCTCTCTCTTCCCAGCCATATCACTCCTGTCTCCACCTCCCTAGTTCTGGGATTAAAGGTGTGAGCTCTGTTTCTCCTTTTGACTGATTCACTCCCATATAGTCCAGGTTAACCTTAAACCCACAGAGATCCATCTGCCTCTGTCTCCTGAGTGCTGGGATCAAAGGTGTGTACCACCACTGCCTGTCCCCTATGGTTGTGTCTAGCTTTGCACTCTGATACTCAGTCATTAACCCCAATATATGTCTCTGAGTTTTTATTATTAATACCAATTAGAATTTGTAGTATATATCTCCATCTCTTGTGTTTGAGGATGTAAAAAGGTCCATGAATTCCTACCATAAGCACAATGAGTCTGCCACAGTGTTGGGCAGAGCTTGTCAATTCAGCTTACAGGGCAGTGACCTAATAACTTTCTAAGCCTGATGATGACAGGGGACCTACCCTTAGGAAGTCTGGTGCAGTTAGTCTGTACTGCAAATGTTGGCATCTCCAGTGAGCCATGCAGACATGAGTCTCCTTCCTAAACTGTAATCCAAAACTATAGGTATCAATGGGAAGCTGAACCACAAATTTTACACACACACACACACACACACACACACACACACACACACAGAAAAGTCAAGTTCTGTCTTCTACTGCTGATACTTGTCTCCACAGTCAACAAACTCTCATGAACAACTAGGGTCTGTTAAATCATGAAACAGCAAGCCCAGCAGACAAACATGTAACCTAAATCTGAGTGTTAAGATCCTGTTATTACAGCCAAACCAAGAATGAACAGATAATTATGAGAATTAACTCATGTCTTTAGGAGTGATGTGGGAAAGGGGTGCTTTTCATTACTGTGAAAGCCACATGTCTCCTGATTTCCCACAGTGGACACAGGTTACAGCACGATCTACTAAGACAGTGTTTCTCTACAGAAGACAGCACTGACAACTGAAGATGCCATTTGTTTTCGAGGCAGGGTTTCTCTGTGACTTTGGAGGCTGTCCTGGAACTAGCTCTTGTAGACCAGGCTGGTCTCGAACTCACAGAGATCCACCTGCCTCTGCCTCCTGGGACTAAAGGTGTGCACCACCACCACCCGGCTTGAAGATAGGATTTGTAACTGATTTGTTGCTACAATTAAATGTAGATTTTATGGGCCCTTAGACTCCTAGTCCTGCATTGTTAAATTTTTAATCATCAAGGCAAAACCCAGTTCCATATATCACTGTAAATGAAGACATGTACATGACAGAACCATTCTTAGGCATAAGCTATTTTTAAAACTATCTAATAAGATTACTGTGAAAACAAACTTGGAGCTAATCCCACAACTTGGAAGATACTTTCAAAACTTTACCACATTGTGCATGCACACAGTATTATTTAAATAACACTAAAATTATTACTCTTGTCATATGTTATGACTCAACTTATTTCTGATTCTTTTTGTTTTATTTGTCTTTGCATCTCTCCTACTGGTATGCAAGTTCCATGAGGTAGAAACATTGTATGTGTTGCTTATTAATGGGTCACTATCATGTCAAAACCCTTCCCCATACATAGGTAATTCATCATTTTGTTCATACTTTTGTTCAGAAATGGATAGACAACTAATTAGGTCATAAAATAGCATTTGCAGAATGTAGTCCATGTCCCTGATGAATCAAGATCACCCTGTGCAGCTTGATGCAGATGCCTCTGCCTCACTTCAGACCCATACATCTGTAGGGCCCCAGGTAAAGCCAACCAGAAAGGAGCTTGACTGCTCTAGGTACAAGTCCTTATGAATCTGACCTTCAGCGAATGGGATCTAGAAGAATCAGAAACACAAGATCTGTTCTGACAAGCAGGAAACACTTGTGAAGCTGCTCACACCCACCCATGTAAGGCTTGGTGCCAGCTATGGTGGTGATCCGGGTCTCCTTGGGCAGCAGAGCAGCAATGTTGAAGTCAGTGATGTGCACATGTCCTGTGGGAACAGGAAGACCAGGAGAATGTTAAATCCCTTCAACCTAGAAGAACAACCATCCATCTAATTGAAAAGATCTGGATGCTTAGCCTGTTAGTTCTGGTATACTAGCTGTAACTGAGTACAGGCAATAAAAGCTCCCTTATTCCATCCTCAAGGCCAATGAGGTTTTAAACCAGCAGGTTTGCAGCAGCAAGAACATGATATGCAGCCATTAGTCTCTGACTATAAACTTGGAGCTCAAACTCAGACTGTTTGAAATTTGGTAGATAAGTTCATGCTTCAAGAACTCTCTGGATATTATTGTCTGCTGGCACCAGTCTAGATTGCCCATCTTATGTATTCCATATAGGTGACATCCAGGGGCTCTAAAAATATCACAATTCTCATAATTTCTTCTGGGATCATTTAAAAAAAAACCAAGTAAAATTACTTGGTGTGGTTATGGATACACATTTTTGTTATTGTTGTTGCTGTTCTCCTGATTGTTCTAAAACCCCTTCAGTATGGAGGAAGCTTTCAGTGACCTCTAACAAAGTAAATTCTATCAAGAGGGAGCTCATGGACCCCAGACTGATGGCTGAGAGGCCAGCATGGGACTGTTCCAGACCCTGTGGATGTGGGTGTCAGTGAAGAGGCCTTGGTAATTATGGGGCCTCCGTTAGTAGATCAGTATTTATCCCTGGCACATGAATGGACTTTGGGAGCCCATTTCACATGTAGGGATACTGGCTCAGCTTGGACACACGGGGGAGGGCCTAGGCCGCACCCGGGATGATATGAGAGATTTTTGAGATCCCAAGGAGGGCCTCATCCTCCCTGGTGAGTGGAGGGGAGATGGGATGGGTGTTTAGGAAGCTGGTGGGGGGAGGTGGAGGAGGGGAGGGAGAGGGAGCTGGGATTGACATGTGAAGCGAGCTTGTTTCTAACTTAAATAAAAAAATAATGGGTAGATCAAATGATGTCTAGGGACTCTTTGAGTTGGGAAACAAATCTCTTTGTGTTGTAACAAAGCAATAAAATGTGTGTGTGGCACTTTAATTTGGTAGGAAATAACTCCTTATGCAATGTTCCAGGGTTCCTGCATTTACAGCTGGAAGGAAGAATGGGCAAGGCAGGAAACTCAAGCCAAATTGTCTGTTAGCTATTAGCACAATAGTTATCTGCCTTCCTAGGAGCTGGAGGTGTTGTCATACCCATTTACATGTTTCTGATGCTTTGATGTGTTGGGATTGAAGAGGAAACACCACCTCATTCTCCTTCCAGGGCCCCCAGTCCAAACTCCCCACTCTGAACTACACAGTCTGCCTCTGGTCGTATTCAGCCCATTGCTAAGGAAAACTGTTACTCTCTCCATTAACATGGCTCTATTTTATGCAGAAAATACTTTCTTTTTGTTTGTATGACATTTTCATAAGGTAAAAGCAGCATTCATCAAAATGAAAGTTGCAGTATTCTTGGCCAAATCACATCAATGAATGCACTCTTCAACATAGTTAAAGCTGTCTTGCTTTCTTTTTTTATGTCTATTTGTCCATAGTTCATGCCCCAAATATTGGACAACTTTGGAATTTGATGCAAATTAGGTCGACCTGAAATCACAACTATTCTGAGCCTGTTCTCCAGAATCAGGATGTGTGGTTTTAAGTCTAGTCCCCACCACTAATCAGCTATGTCACCTTGAAAAAGTCACTCAGACTCTCTGACTGTAGTTGTCTTACTAAGTAAGATCATGAGGACATGAAAGATAGCAGTGACTATGGGAGACTTAGCCTTGCACTTATCAGGGCACCAGAATTGTTGATAGTCATTATCAGAAACTAAGGCATGGATTTTCAAAGCACAAGTGCCTGTGTCTTACTCCCCTCCAACTACAACTGGACTGACAGGAAAGCCAGACATCTGCATTGAAAACAAAAGAAAACTCCAGAAGACAGTGGTCATGAGCAGTCAGGCATGGAACCTTTCCTAAAACCTGAGGAGGTTTTCCATATCGTATAAAGTTGCCTAGATAGTGTTGACGTAAAATGTAAAGGATGCTCTGGGTATGCCCAATTCCCAAAGCCTGTTCTCTGGATCAGAAGCAACAGTGCCATTCAGGATCTTTGCAAACTCTGAGCCTTTCTATACTTTATGGATCAGAAACACTAAGGTCCATGTCCCAGCATTTAAACAAGCCCTCCAGGTAACTCTCATGCCGCAGAGTTTGACATCATTGTTATGAAAAAAGACCTAGTTCATTGGAAGAGTGCGTCTGTCCCACAAAACTACAAAGTATGGGGGAGACTGGCCAAAAGGAAAAGAAAAAAATACAAACCCAGTCAGCACTGACTGTCTTACTGCTCAATTTGACTGAATGAATAATGAATATCTATGAACATCTGCACATGATTCCTTCAGACTTTAGAATACTGTTCCAGCCTGTCCTATCGAAGTGGCCCCTGTTGCATAGGTGAGTGGTTTGTAGCTAAGTTCATAGGATCCAGAAGTGGTGGAATTGAAGTTAAGATCTAGAGACTGGTTTAGGATCTAGATGTTGTTCCCATGATACTTTGGTTCAGGTTCCTAATCTCCCAAAATGCTGTGTGTTCTGTTGCAAAACCAAAGGACTGAGGAACTTGAAACATGGATTTTTTCATTGACTCAGTTATCTTCCCCTGCCAGGATGCAGAGGAAATATCTGAAGCCTAGGATTAATGGGAGCTCTAGTGGGTGCTACAACAACTTCCCAGCGCCATCCATTATACTGAGCCTGGGTTCCCATGGTGCTTCCCTGCTGAGCTCACACTGCCAGGTTTTCTCCTGAGCTTTGAGGGTGACTTCCAAGGCTGAGTTAGAGGGGTGGGTTCACTGTGATGCTGATGACAGGAATCAGGACTTTGAGTTTGAGGGAATTTTATACTTTCTTCCCAAGCCAGGACTCCAAGAAACTCCTGGAATAATGTCCTCAACCTCAGGGCTGTAGAGATACTAGTTTCATTGCCTTTGCTTTGGCGCTGACCTCGGCATTGTATCATGTTTGGTGTAAAGTTTTCCCGTACAAGACTAAGGACTTCCTGATCTAGATACCTAGGGGAGAGTTTTCACCTTGGACAGTTTAATAATCTTAACTTATCTTACAGGGCTGTTGGGTTCAGCTACCACTGTTGTCACTATCTCTATTCTTCCTCACTGTTGATGTGCTCAGTCTGAGGCCCCTTTCATCAACACATCTCTCTAGGATACCATATCTAATCCGTTGGCAATGGCCATAACTGTTAGAACAAGAGTTTACAGTTTGTTCAATACATTCACTTTTCCTGTGATGTCAGCTACTCTCAGATGTAGCTAAGACATGATCATCATTATCTGGGGCCACATGTATTATCTTGCATTTTTAATAGGATGCTTTCTTGATTTTTTTTTTAGCAAGCGTTAGGACTCTTCATGAAGGAAGCCAATAAGATAGAATGCTCTATTCTTTCTTATTCTTTAATATGAGTTTTTACCTCCCTCTCTTGTGACTACAGGTACTAAGAAGCTAATTATGTATGATTCTGTAACTGCCAAGGTTTTTGATAATGCCAGGCAGATAGTACTATTCTTCTGGATGTAGTATTTGTTTCCTGGCTAACTTAAGAAAAACACAAATATTTTAGACATGTGAAAGTGATAGAATTGTATTGGCCTGAACAATTGGT